TCTTTCCGGGTCCCGCCCAGGGACCTAAGGTTAGAAATGGCGTCATGACACTTTCCACTAACAAAAAAAAAAAAAAAAAAAAATTACAGAGATAAAGCCCTTCGTAAAGTGTGGGCTGTACTTGTCAGAACAATTTTTTGTATCTCCTTGAGGCATGGACTTCCAGGAATCCCTTCAATTAGTCTACTGCAATCTTTTCCAACCTGTCCTAGGGCTCCAACTACAACAGGGATTGTTGATGTTCCCATGTGCCACATTTTCGAGATTTCTATTTCAAGGTCCTTGTATTTTGACAACTTTTTGAATATCTTCAAAGATACATTGCAGTCAGCAGGGACTGCCATATCAATAAGGAGGCACCGTTTTTATTTGTGGTCTTTAATAACAATATCTGGCCGGTTGGCCTTGATTGTTCTGTCAGTGTGTATTGTGTAGTCCCATAGAATTGTAACAAGTCCTATCTCCGTAACCGGATCTGGGTGGTGTTCATACCAGTTTCTTTCAGTTTCCTTCCCGTAGAAGTTGCAGATTTTCCAGTGCAGATATTGGCCAACTCTGTCATGTCGGGATTTATATTCAGTGGGTGCCAATGTCGTGCAACCTGATACAAGATGATCAATCGTTTCTGGATATTTATCACAGAATCTGCATTTTGGGCTGACACAATATTTTAGTATATGTGCTTGATAATTCCTAGTTAGCAATCATTGGTCCTGTGCAGCAAGGATAAAACCTTCAGTTTCCGCTTTCAACCCTGCACTACGTAGCCACTGATGGGTACAGGTTTGTCTACGTCAGCTTGTTTGGTACGGGCAGAGTATTGGCCATGAAGCGGTTTATCTTGCCATCGTTTCTGTATCTGGTCGGTTGCATTCGTCTTTGCTGTCTTTTTTTAGGTATTTTGCTGTTTCAGCCGGTGTATTGTGCTGTAGTTGCATCTCTACGCCCATTTGAAACTCCATTTTGAATTTGTTGGCTTCTTTCATTACGGAGTAAAGACGCTTACTACTTTCATGTTCCTTGACGGATACCATCATCCAGTCTTCTGTAGTTTCCAAATATCTTTGGAGGCCAATTGGTGTAGTTTTGTAGGACAGTTCTAGTTGAACTAATCCACTGCCACCTTCAGATCTGGGCACATATAGACGATCAACATCAGCTTTGGGATGATGCATGCGATAGCAAGTGAGAAGCTTTCTCGTTTTGGCATCCATTCGCTTAATTTCAGATATGGTCCAGTTAAGGACATTAAAGCTGTATTGCACCACAGGGACAGCCAATGTGTTTATGGCTGATATTCTGTTTTTTGAGTTCAGCTCAGTATTTAGTACCAGACGTACACGCCTGTAGTACTCTTTTCTTATTTTTCCCTTCATTTTGGGGGGGGTGTTGTATGCCACCCCCTTCGCTAATTCCTAGGTACTTATAAGCTTCACCATGCTCCAGTTCCCTAATCTTTGTGACAAAATCTAAATCTATTAAAGGTGTTTCTGTATTATTATTATTATTGTCTTTGATTTCTGTTGTATACACATTTTCTTCCGGGTCCCAACCAGAAACCTAAGGTAAAAAATGGCTTCATGACATTCTCCAATGAAAAAAAATAAAATAATAAAAGCTCATCGTAAGGTGTGAGCTGTACCTGTGAGTACATTTTTTTTTTCATTTTTTCAAGTCATGTTTTTCCAACCAATCCGGGGCCTCCAGATACAAACGAATTTATTGATGCTTTCATGTGCCACATTTTTGAGATCTCCACTTCTACATGTTTGTATTTTGATAGTTTTTATTAAGACCTTCAAAGATAATACACAATTTGCAGAGGCTGCCACGTCAATAAGGAAACACATTCTATTTTTGTGGTCACGATGTCTAGGCAATTAGCTTTGATTTTTCTGTCTGTGTGTATTTTAAAGTCCCATAGAATTGTTACAGGTCCTATCTCTGTAACCGGGTCTGGGTAATGTTCATACTGGTTTCTTGCAGTTTCTTTATTATTATTATTATTATTATTATTATTATTATTAATGATGATGATAATAATAATAATAATAATAATATCATTTGTGTATGTTATGTTTCCTACTTTGTATCCTGTAGAGCCAGGTCCAAACTATGGTACTTAGGCCCTATAAAAGAATTGTCATTTAATTGATAGCACTTTTCTTAGTATATGAGATGTTTCTAGTAGGGCGATCTTCTGGGCAACTTGTACCACCATTAGTAAAATTGTCCATTCCTTATCTGACGAGACCCAGAGCTCTGATTACTATTGGTACAATCTCAGTCTTCATTCCCCACATACTGTTCATCAGATCTCGAGGTCTTCGTATTTGGACAATTTCTCGATAATTTTCATGGAGGTTTTTCTCTCAGTTATTATTATTATTATTATTTCATTTGATTTCTGGTACATCCACATTTGTTTCCGGGTCCCAGTCAGAAACCTAAGGTCAGAAATGGTATCATGACATTTTCCACTGACCATTTTTGAGAGAAAAAAAACCCACAAAAATCACAGCCCTTCGTAAGGTATAGGCTGCACTTCTGAGAACATTTTTTGTATTTCTTTAAGGCATAGACTATCAGTTATCCTTTCAGTGAGTCTATTGGAATCTTTTCAAATCAATCCGAGGGATCCAACTCCAAATGGAGTTGTTGATGTCCTTACATGCCACAATTTTGAAATTTCGATTTGATGGTCTTTGTATTTTGATAGTTTTTTTTTGAAGATCTTCAATGATACACTACAGTTTGCAGGATCTACCATGTCAATAAGAAGGCACATTTTGTTTTGCGGTGTCTAATCTCGATGTCTGGGCGATTAGCTTTGATTGTTCTGTCTGTGTATATTGTAAAGTTCTGTAAAATTGTTACACGTCCTATCTTCGTAACCGGATCTGGGAGGTGTATTATTATTCTTATTGTTATTCGTGGAATCATCTTGTCAGAGAGTAATTTTAAGTACCTAATTATCAAGTCCCCTCCGGTGTCTGTCAGTAAAAAGGGAACTGTACGAGTATTATCTGAGAATATGGGGGATGTTTCGTTTAGATGGAGACGGTTTTGCGCATTTAATGAGCAGTTTCACACAAAACAATCATTTGTAGCTTGCAGATGCTGATGTGTCCAGGAATTGTACTCACATGATTTTCGGTACCCTTCTTTATCATACCAAATGACACTATCACAACAGGGATAATTATTATTATTATTATTATTTTTATTTTCTTTGATTTCTGGCGTTTACACATTTCTTTCCGGGTCCCGCCCAGGGACCTAAGGTTAGAAATGGCGTCATGACACTTTCCACTGACAAAATAAAAAAAAAAAAAATAAATAAATTACATAGATAAAGCCCTTCGTAAGGTGTGGGCTGTACTTGTCAGAACAATTTTTTGTATCTCCTTGAGGCATGGACTTCCAGGAATCCCTTCAATTAATCTACTGCAATCTTTTCCAACCAGTCCTAGGGCTCCAACTACAACAGGGATTGTTGATGTTCCCATATGCCACGTTTTCGAGATTTCTATTTCAAGGTCCTTGTACTTTGACAACTTTTTGAATATCTTCAAAGATACATTGCAGTCAGCAGGGACTGCCATATCAACAAGAAGGCACCGTTTTTGTTTGTGGTCTTTAATAACAATATCTGGCCGGTTGGCCTTGATTGTTCTGTCAGTGTGTATTGTGTAGTCCCATAGAATTGTAACAGGTTCTATCTCCGTAACCGGGTCTGGGTGGTGTTTATACCAGTTTCTTTCAGTTTCCTTCCCGTAGAAGTTGCAGATTTTCCAGTGCAGATATTGGTACACTCTGTTATTATTATTATTATTTGTCTTCTTCTTTGCTTTTGCCATTATGTTTTTGCCGTTTGGTCTTCTGCGTTCTTTCTGATTTCGTTCCTCTACTCTTTCTCTGCATATAGTGTAATGGTTAACGGGCAAGGAAGCTGAATCAATGAGCCGAGTTCAAATTCTGGTCTCGTCTGTTGTATTCCCTTTCGCACAAGTATCGCGAGGAAGAGCAAGAATACATCTCTTCTCCCTTCACACAGTGAAGTCATGTAGTGAGTCTGGTGGCTTCCGATGCCCCTTTAGCGTTCGATATGTCTTTTGAATATCAAATTATCCAAGCCCTCCTTCCTTATTATGAGTTTAAGGGCTTTTCTCAAGTCTTCTTCTTTTCTTATTGTTGCATGTCAACAAGCAACAATCTTCATGAAATCGGCGCGTTTTTTTACCAAATAACTCCAAAGAAAATTAAATCTAAGGGAGAATCTTCAACTTTGTCGAACCTACCCTCGGATTTGGGCTTCAGTCACTTTCTCCCCTCCGTTATGTAGTTTCCCTGTGGTTCTTCTAAAAATATTGCCAAGAAAATTCTTCTGACGTGCTTTCTTCTTTGGCAAATCGACTTCTTGAATTTAAGCGTAGTACTAGATTGGCAGTTAGGTCCCACAATTTTGCTACTGAAATTGCTAGTTATAACTAGAGTGAGACTTTTATTTTAATATTTTTTCTCTCGCACGACTTGACTGAGGAATTCTCTTTTTAGCTCTTGAATTCCAGTCCAAAACAATTTTCAAAACTTTAAATACAACGTCAATCATCTGTTTCTTTGATTCATGTTCTTTTTATTGTCCATTTTCCTCAGTGACGTTTTTTTTTTTTTGCGTTTCATTCTCTCTCAGAAACTCTTTGTGGCTCTATGGTCTTGCTTGGAGTGAAATTAAAAACAAAAAATTTCTCCAAAAAATTTAAGACGAGCTTTTAATTCATATTTTTTGTGTATTATTTGAATGAATATTGCACTAAATTTTTCCAATCTTGACAATTCAAAAAACTATTTTAACTAATATATTAGCTCGCCGGACTCTAGTTCCTCACTCATCCACTGACCGAAAACTAAACATACGAAAACTCATCTGAAAAGATTACATTTTGTATAAACTGAAAAGGTCTATTATCTTAATTGACCACTACATTTTCTACTAAAAGGTTTAGGAAGTGAATTTCTTAATTTCTTTCTTGTTTTTTTCTTTCTTTCTTTATTTCCTTCTTGTGTCTTTCTTACTTGTTCTTTCTTTCTTTCTTTCTTTCTTTCTTTTCAGTATCTTACTTGTTCTTTCTTTCTTTCTTTCTTTTCAGTCTCTTACTTGTTCTTTCTTTCTTTCTTTCTTTTCAGTATCTTACTTGTTCTTTCTTTCTTTCTTTCTTTCTTTCTTTCTTTTCAGTATCTTACTTGTTCTTTCTTTCTTTCTTTCTTTCTTTTCAGTCTCTTACTTGTTCTTTCTTTCTTTCTTTCTTTCTTTCTTTTCAGTATCTTACTTGTTCTTTCTTTCTTTCTTTCTTTCTTTTCAGTCTCTTACTTGTTCTTTCTTTCTTTCTTTTTTTTCAGTCTCTTACTTGTTCTTTCTTTCTTTCTTTCTTTTCAGTCTCTTACGTGTTCTTTCTTTCTTTCTTTTTTTCAGTCTCTTACTTGTTCTTTCTTTCTTTCTTTCTTTTTTTCAGTCTCTTACTTGTTCTTTCTTTCTTTCTTTTCAGTCTCTTACTTGTTCTTTCTTTTTTCCGGCATTCATTGCATCTTTCCTTTATTTTTTTATTTTTTAATCTACCATAGCTTTCTTTATTAGCCACACAAGCTAGAGAGGTACGACTTGAATTTGTTGCCTGAACGTAGTAGGAAAAATAAGTGCACATTATAAGGAAACTTACGGTAGGTAACGGTTCAACCTAGACTTGAAGTGTTTAAGATTGTAGCGATCGGGGAAGACTGTTTCATGAAATAGCATGAAAGAAAAGCTTTCCGAATGGAACTGCTTTATAACCAATGGAATTATCATGGTTCGTACCTATCTATATAGGGAAGAGAGTCTTAGATATAAAGGTCTGAAAATGGTAGAAGTAGAGAATGTAGCTTGTCTGGACATTTTCCATCGATATAGCGAAAGAGTTTCGAGAGGTTTGCAACGCTTCGTCTGTGCCAAAAGTTTGCAAGGCGGGAAATTAATTTATTGACTTCAAAGCTGTGTAAACGCTTCTGAACTCTGTCAATGCCAGAAAGTGGGGATTGTGCAGCTGCAGCCCAGATATGGCAGCAATACTTCAATTTCTGGTCTCATCTGACTCTTGTAAAGATATAGTAGGGCAGGAGGTGTCAGATACTTTTTAAAGTGATACAAGCTGGAAAATAAGAACTGGACATCTCCAGCGCTGATATAGCAGAAATACTCTATTTCTGGTTTGATTGAGTGATGGATTGATTCGTTTTCTAATGCTTATGAACCCTTTGCAAGTTGTTTAAATATTTTTAGATTGTAGGATTTCTTTTTAGATAATAATGATCTAGTATTTAACCCATAACGGGGAGTAGAAGAGGTGACTTCATACATTTCTCAATGGCAGTTACATGTAATATAACGAACCCAATTGGAATTGGAACTCGGTACCGATTGACAATTCCTAGCCATTATCCATTACACCCTCGACACAACCAAACTTATAGCACTTGGTATTCCCAAGCGGTCACCAGTCGGTTACTGACCAGGCTTTACGTTGCTTAACTTCGTGATCATACGGAAATCGGTGTTTCAACGTGATATGACCGTAGGTATATTTCTGGTCTGATCTGATTCTTGTAAAGATTTTCCAGTTTCTTTTGCGAGCTCTGAGTACGGATTTGGAAACAGTCTACTTGTCAACTGCTTGTTAGTGAAGGAGACAGAGAGGTAGAGAAAGTGTGTGTGTGCGCACGCGCGCGTGTGTGTGTGTGTGTGTGAGAGAGAGAGAAACGAAGGAAAGAAGTGATTGACAGAGGCTGCCAATATTGTTGCTCGATAATGTCTAGCAGTATGAAGGAGCGCGTGTGGATTGTCTTAGAGCAAAAAAAAATCTCACTGTAAGAATTTGTGCGGATAATTTTTTTTTTTACCAAAGAATTCTTTCTACTTTCTCGCTAATTGCTGATTCGTTAATTCACGGACGAATGCAAAAGCATAGCATCCTGCCACGTATATCACCATTTTCTTCTATACGATGTCTAATCTCCGGAACATTCGACCGTACACTGATCTAAACTAATGTATCGTATTTCAAAAATACCATATATTTCAAATATTATAATTTAAATGCATTGTCAATCGATATCTTCTGTGTTCTAAATTCCTGTTTTGTTATTGTTTTCCGTCCTTAATAATGTTTTTTTCTTCTTTTTCTCATATTCTTTCACACTTTTGTGTCTTAGTGGCTTTATTGCAATGGGTTTGGTTTGGTTTGGTTTGTTTTACGGCATATCAATCTCAATGGGTTATTTAAAGCCGACAAAATTGTTGTTGCTGGTAATGTTTTTTTCCTTCACAAATCTATTTTTGGTAATATTTTTTTCTTCAAAAAAGTAATTCTGGCAATAATATTTTTACAAAAAAGTATTTCTGGTATTAAAATCTATTTTTACACTTTCATAGTGTTTTGACCCCAGTTTGGAGGTTAACTATTTGCTGGGACCCTAACAGGTGCTACCACCCCGGGTCAGGGTGGACCTGGGAACGCCAGCAATTAAGAGGTGGTTCCACGCTCCTCAAAACCTCCTGATCAGAGGCCTTGCTGCTAGACGTAGTTTATCGTCTTACCCAGGACGCGGATGTAGTTTATCGTCTTACCCAGGACGCGGATGTAGTTTATCGTCATACGCAGGACAGTTATTGCAATGGGATGAAATGATTAAAATAATTGCCATACCGTCAGTAATGCATAAGAGCATACTCCGATCTTTTGGAGACACAGATACTGATGATAGAATGGTATATATTTGCACCTTCAAAATTCTAGATGACCACACCTTGGTAGTTGATATCTCCTCTGGCCTAGATCTAACAACGTAGGGGGAGAAAATCTAGTTGGTCATATTCAATGCCAGAAAAACCGGACTAATGACGTCCCATCATCACTCGTCGATCACAATTAATGGATGCTCTGTCAGGGTGGCTCCGTGCCTTCAGCACCTATTGAAAAAAAAACCTTCCTAACGGGCTTGGCAGAACAAGTACTAAGGAAGATAGCAAAGAGACAAAATATTACTAAGAGGTAGAAAGGAGATTGTGGAGTGCCATGACCAAATCCTGAAGTGACACGACAAATAGAATAAGATTTTATATGGTGTTAATGTTTATATATACCACGTTGTCTCAACATCTTTTTACTAAAGAGAGGCGATGAAGTGAAAAGGTCCTGTCTTATATTAATTGTAGGAGGATTAGTAAATCAAAGAAAGAAAGAAAAAAAAAGAAAGATAAAGAAAGAGAGAGAAAAAAGAAAGAAAGAAAGAAAGAAACAACGGAAAGTATGAAAGAACGAAAGGAAATGGAAACAAAATGAAGAAAGAAAGAAAGAAAAAAAGAAAGAATTGTTATTTAATTAATAACAAAAATAAAGAAAAGGAGGAGAAAGAAAGGAAAAAGAAAAAAGAAAATGGAAGAAAAAATGAAAACGGTAAAGAAAAAAGAACGAAAAAAAGAAAAAAGAATGCAGTGCAAAAGAAAGAATGAAAGAAAGAAAGAAGGAATGAAAAGAAATCAAGAAGGAAAGCAAAAACATATCAAGAAAAAGTAAAAAATGAAGAAAAAACGCAAGAAAGAAGAAATAATGAAAGAAGAAAAATGATGCAATGAGAAAGAAAGAAAAATATAGTAAAAAATCAAGAAGGAAAGGACAATGAAAGAAAGAAAAAGGAAAAAGGAGAAAGAAAGACCAAAAAGAAAGGAAAAAGGAAAGAACAAGAAAAAGAAAGAAAATATGAATAGGAAAAATGAAAGAACAAAAAAGGAAAAGGAAAAAAATAAAAAATAAATCACAAAAAGAAAAAATTAAAGGAAAAAAGAAAGAAGAACAAAAAAAATTAAAGAAAAAAGGAAAGAATGAGAAAAAGAAAGAAAAAATGAAAAGGAAAAAAGGACAGCAAAAGAAAAAGAAAAAAAGAATGAAAATGAAAAATAAATAACAAAAAAAGAAAGGAAAAATGAAAAAGAAAAGCGAAGAACAAGAAAAAGAAGGAAAAAATGAAAAAGAAAAGAACAAGAAAAGACAGAAAGAACAGAAAAAGAATGAAAGAATGTAAAAAGAAAGAAAGAAAGAAAGATATAATAAAAATGTTAAGAAACAAAATACAAGAAACTGCGTAAAAGAAAGAACGCGAAAAAGATAAAGCAGAGAAAGGAAAAGACACAAAGGAAAAGAAAATTGAGAAAAAGAAATCGAAAATGAAAGAGAGATAGAGAGAGGGGGGGAGAGGGGGGAGAGAGCGGGAGAGAGAGAATGCAACAGGAAGGAGAAAGTGGAAAATAAAAGTTAAAGGAAAAAAGAAACTTACAACCAAAAAAGAAAAGAAAAAAAAATTGAAGCCGAAATGGAAGATGGAGACAAAAAAAAAAAAATAGAAATAAAAAATAAAGAAAAAATAAAAATAAAGAAAAAAAAAAAGGAAAAGAAAAGAAAAGAAATAAAAAAGAAAAGAAAATGTAATTGTACGCACCAAGAAATCAGAACTCAAATCAAAACGGGTGTATAGCATTTCTACCCGCTTCTTTCCACCGCACCAGCCCCGGCCTTCATTTTGCATCTTCAAATGCCTTGTTGCCACATCTACCACAGATATAAACAGAGAAGAAAAAAAAACTGCCTCGTCACAGTGTCCTATGAACACCCCTAATCAACCCGTTTTCCTACCAACCCACTGTTTTGTTCCCGTTCTGTTGAGTTCTTTTTCATTCCCGACACATTCTTCTGTACACGCCACTCCTTGTCATACTAACTTGTTGTTACCTCGCTGCATGGAATACCCATTTTTGTTTCTTTTTGTCTTTCGTTTACGGTAGTAGTAGGAGAAAATTCCATAATGTCCACTTATTATTTTTTGACATTTTACTGCAAATTGAAACTTTAAATTTCTTTTTTTTTGTTTCCTTTTGTTTCAAAGTCCATTGTCGTCTTTATACCAACCGCTTTCTCTATCGCTCTCTCGTTCTCTTTCTCTCTCTGTTATCTTTTTCTATGTGCCGTGTTCCATCAAGATGTGGAAGATCGTGCCTCTCCACAACTTCCTACCTTTTAGCAAGTTTTACCTTTTTGCTATCTCTCCTAATCCCTGTTCTGCCAAGCTCGTCGGCTAAGTTATACGCTCTTTTCCTTTGTCCTTCTTACCTTTAATATATTCTGAGAGTGTCACATTTTGACTGTCTCTTTCTGGTGGTAAATATACTTGTCCAATTGGTTTTCATTTTCTCTAAAATTTCCTTGTCGTTCCGTCGTTGTTCATGGTTGGTATTCTCAGCATCCTTCTGTAGAACCCCTTTTTTGTTGCTTCAAGTTTTTTCTTCATCAATAGGAGGATTGATATTACATTATCTTTTCTTGTTTCTAACGAATTATACTTGTTTCTGAATCCTCATCATTATTCGACCGTAGCCGGGATCATCGAGCCAATGCGAACGATCCTTCAGTATAGTATAGGGCTACATACAGTTTTTGAATTCAGAGTTACTTTCTCCTAGATCGGTTGCCACCCAAGGCTAGAGAACCCAGTCTGCCCTACTATTTATCTATAGCTGGGGTGGGGGGGGGTACAGAAGAAGAGAATTCATACCTTCCCCAAGGGTGTTAGTACGTAATGGATCTGCCTGGAATTTTCCGATTCCTCAATCCGAGCCGCTATCCATTAATCCACCTTGCTTCCTTAAATGCTAATACTTTGCTTAGCTTTTGAAAGGCATCTTTTGCAGTTCAATGACCCTTCGGATTTCTGTTTCACATTTCTCATCCTCTATTAAAATACTTCCTAGATATTTAAACTTTGTAATTGCTCAGTTTTGGTTTCTCCAATTCGCAGTTGACCTCTTTATCTGTTCTATTAACATACAACTATATATACTGGGGCATCTCTCCATGGTGTAATGATTAGAAAGCTTGTCTTTCTAGATCAATTACGACTTAGTAGGGAGATCGATCCTCATTGGGTGTGCCTTACTTTCGGCGCGTCCTGGGTAAGACGATAAACTACGTCCAACAGCAAGGCCTCTGATCAGGAGGTTTTGAGGAGAGTGGAACCACCTCTTAATTGATGGTGTTCCTAGCTCCGCCTTGAGCCGGGGTGGTAGCACCTGTTAGGGTCCCAGCTATGGGCAAATAGTTAACCCCGAAACTGGAGTCAAAACACCATGAAAGCGTAAAAAATAGGCTTTAATACCAGAAATACTTTAAAATTATTACCAGCAATACCGTTTTGAAAAAAATATTACCAGCAATGTTTTTAAAAAAGAAATATTACTTGCAATACATTTTTGAAGAAAAAATATTACCAGAAATACATTTTTGAAGAAAAAATCTTACCAGAAATAGATTTTTGACAAAACAAAATATTACCAGCAATAAAAATTTTGTCGGCATTAAATAACCCATTGTGGTTGATATGCCGTAAACCAAACCAAACCAAACAAAACCAAACCAAACCAAACCAAACCAAACCAAATACTTTCGGCCTTGTGCCACATCTAAGCCGTGTTTAGAAAATCACTACAACCATATATACTGTCTTCAGACAATTGATAGTTAGTCCTTTCTTCTCGCTTTCTTTTACTACTTTCTGTAGGAGTTCCTGTGATTTCTTTTCTGTGTCGGCTGTTTTTGTGTATTTTGGGGGCGTGAGGGGAGGGCACTCTGCTAAAACCATTTCTTTTTCTTGTATTTTTTTGTTACTAAATTTACAGAGCATAAAATCCTTTCTTCTATCTCCTTAACACACAATCTATACCGCCCTGGATAAGACGATAAACTACATCCGCGTCCTGGGTAAGACAATAAAGTACATCCAACAGCAAGGCCTCTGATCAGGAGGTTTTTAGGGGCGTGGGACTCTTAATTGCTGGTGTTTGCACGTCCACCCTAACCGGGGCTGGTAGCACTTGTTAGGGTCCCAGGTAACAGTTAAATTGGGGTTAAAACACTATGAAAGTGTAAAAATACGCTTTAATACCAGCAATACATTTTTGTAAAAAATATTTCTTACAATGAATTTTTGAAGAAAAAAATTATTATTTTGATGGAAAATAATATTAGCAGCAATAAAAAAAAAGAATTAAATAATTCATTGAGGTTGATATGCCGTAAAACAAATCAAACCAAACCAAACCACAATATATGTATAAAAAAATAATCTTCATTCTAGGTTTCACTCGAATTATGTCGTAGAAACATTTTTCTACGACATAATTCGAAAAACGAAAATTACTTATGACTCAACTTGATACTTTGTTGCGTTAGAAGTAATTTCCGTTTTGGGAACTCAATCGCAATGACGCATGTGTCATCCTAACTAATACTTCCTTGAGGACATTATAATAGTCGATGAAAAGTCGATTGCATACAACAATGTTAAAACACAAAAGGTATTGGATTGACAAGGATAACTCTCTATAACTGTCCACGATTTTTTTTTGGCGGGGTGGGTGTCATCACAATATTATTCATTTAGGTTTCTTAAAATATAATGAAGCACTAAATGCACATTTATACATTCATCAGCTGCAACGTGTCCAGAAAGGTTTTGTCGAAAAGCATCCTACGCTTGTTAATAAGACAAATGCTGTTCGTCTCCATGACGCCGTAAGATCGCATACAGAAAGAACAACGCAAGAAAAGATTATGGAACTCGGTTTGTCTGTTCTACCCGACTCATCAAATTCACCTAACCTTGCGTAAAACGATTATTATTTTTTTCAATCGCTGAAAAACGTTTTGATGAGGAAGCGGAAGATTTGTTTGATGAAAACCAGATTCGAGAGTTCGTCGAAGACTTTCTCACTTGAAAATCTGCGGAATTTTACGAAAAATAGTTCTGAAGAAGCTGCCAAATAACTGGCAACAAGTCATTGCAAATAATAAAATAATTTTATTTATTTTCTCACGAATAAAAATGAAGAAACAAAAAAAAGAAGGAAATGACTATACATATTACACGTAAAGTGAGTTCGATTCTCACTGAGTGCTCTGTCTTTGTGACAAGCTAAGTAAATATCTCTATTTTTTTTCTTAAAAATTATTAACGGCGCCCATTTGTTGAAGAGAAAATTCAGTGGAAACGGCCATTAATTTGAGTTGAATTAATTCCAAGGTGGTCCAAATTGATGCAAATTTAAATATTTTGGTCGACTCACCGAATCACGGGTAAAGGTGGAAAAACTGAAATCGCCAAAATCACACGATTACTGTCATAACTCTCTTTCTGATTTAGCCTTGTGCCTGACGAAGGATAAGCTTATTAAAGTGTTGCGAAGTAACTAATATGTTTCCACCCGTTCTCTTATTCTCTCTTTCTCTCGGCACGTATACGTGTGCGTGTGATTGCATGCGCGAATCTGATAGCATGGTAACGCAGAAGACATTCCGGGAAGGAAGAGATGATGATGATGATGATGATGATGATGAGGAAGAGGAGGAGGAGGAGAGGAAAAATGTGGAAGAAAACAGGGGTTTTGTCTGTTTGCGTTAGAAGTAAAAAAAATAACCATTTTAAAATGAGATGAAAGAAAGAAAGAAAGAAAGAAAGAAAGAAAGAAAGAAAGAAAGAAAGAAAGAAAGAAAGAACGAAAGAAAGAAAGAACGGAAGGAAGGAAGGAAGGAAGGAAGGAAGGAAGGAAGGAAGGAAGGAAGGAATTGTAATGAGGCAAGAAAAGAAAGAATTAAAAAAAGAAAGACAGAAAGAAAAAGTGAACTAGAGTAGGTAACAAAGAAAGAAAGGAAAAACGAAAAAAGAATGAAGCAGAAAGAGCAAAAAAAAAAAAGGAGGAATGAAACAGGAAAAGAAATAAAGAAAGAAGAAAGAAGGACATAATTAGACAAGGAAAGAAAGAATGGAAGAAAGAGAAAGGCAAAGAAAAAGAATAAAATATGATGGGAAACAAAGAAAGAAGGAAAATACAGAAGAACGATAAAAAAATGAAGCAGGAAAATGAATAAATAATTAAACAAACAAAGGTTTAACAAAGAAAGAAAGAAAGAAAGAAAGAAAGAAAGAAAGAAAGAAAGAAAGAAAGAAAGAAAGGAATATAGTGAGGCGGGAAAAGAAATAATGAAGAAAGAGAAAGACAGAAAAAAGAATGAAGAAGAATAGGTAACAAAGAAAGAAAGAAAGAAAGAAAGAAAGAAAGGAATATAGTGAGGCGGGAAAAGAAATAATGAAGAAAGAGAAAGACAGAAAAAAGAATGAAGAAGAATAGGTAACAAAGAAAGAAAGAAAGAAAGAAAGAAAGAAAGAAAGAAAGGAATATAGTGAGGCGGGAAAAGAAATAATGAAGAAAGAGAAAGACAGAAAAAAGAATGAAGAAGAATAGGTAACAAAGAAAGAAAGAAAGAAAGAAAGAAAGAAAGAAAGAAAGAAAAAAAAAGAAAGAATGGAAGAAAGAAACAAAAAAAAAGTGTCCAGGAAAGTTAAAATATTTTAGTAGATTTGCACCCGTTTGGTGGCTGAGGATTTTAATGTCGATTTTTTACACAAGCAAACAAACCATTCTCGCTTGGAATCCTGACGCAAAACAATCTTCCTACTCAGAATTCCACGTGTTTGCATTCCGTGTTAAAAACAAGTTTCAATAAAAAGAGAAAAAATCGGAAGAGAATGAAAAAAGAAATGAAAGAAAAAAAAAAGCAAGAGTGAAGGGGAAGAAGGATGAGTAAAAGAGTTGGAGGTGGAAGAAGAAGATTGAGATACCTTAAGGGAGGGAGATCGAGAGAACTCGAGGGGGAGAAGATCGAGAGACCTTGTAGGGAGAACATCGAGAAACCCCGAGGAAGGAAGATTGAAAGATTTTGGCAGAAGATCGAG